AGTATACTACTCATGCATGGATCTTGGGATGGTGAGTCTAGGCCATCACCAATCAAGCATGGGCAACGGTCAATGGAACACGGTATCTGGTGGACAATTAATCAATCATGATGTGATTTTGTATCTGGATTGAACATTTGAACTCTGCACGTATAATAAAGAATATGGAGAGATTAGCTTCTTATTTAGAGACACTGGATTTTGTCAAGTAGTAGGAAGAAAAAGGAACAAAGAAACGTTATTTGCGTGTGACGATGTGAGAAAAGAAGGAAGCATTTCTCAGTCGTGCCCTTCTTACGAAGGAAATATACACTTGGGCCTGTGCCATTGTTCGTATCATGCTTTGTTGGGCTGACATATGCCAAAGCTAACTAATGTGCTTGAGGTCATTTCGGCCTAGTCCAGGATTAGAATCTGTCCAAACAAGTTCTACTGTTGACGAAACCCAAAAACTTCTCTGAAAACCCTAATTTGATCCACGTGCAATTCCTACATAATTATTGTGAAATTCGTGCCTTCCAAAGTAACACCTTTATCACCCATTTTAATCACCACATTAGGTTTGCCATATAAAAAGTATAAAGGCTTAACAAATTTATGTGGAATTGGATCGTTGTTGCTCTAATCATAGTAAGATTTATATATCTAGCGAGAATTATTTTGTTCAGTTTTAATTCTTTTCTTAGTCAATCAAACAATCTAAAATTCGATCAAGTAAAGTAATGTTAATATCTATGACATTAATGAATTGTTTGATAATATAATTATTAATAACTATTTTTGTTAATTTAGATAAATTTAAGAGTCTGTTCGGAACTGTTGGCTTATTCGTTGCTGGTTCGTGAGGAAGTACTGCTGGTTGGTTTGTGTGAGAGAAAAATACTATCCCTGGCTGAAAACACTGTTCATGTGAACAGTGTCCGCATGAGAGGGCTGGCCAGCACCAGCCAGCCAGCCGCACCAGCCGAACAGGCTATAAGAAAGCTGGTATGGTATGTTAGAACTGTAGTATTTGACGTAAGGCCCAGTTTAGTTGCCAAATTTTTTGGCAAAACGCTACTATAGCGTTTTCGTTGTTATTTGGCAATTAGTGTCCAATCATAGTCTAATTAGGCTTAAAAGATTCGTCTCGTGGATTTCGTCTAAACTGTGTAATTAGTTTTATTTTTTATTTAGATTTAATGTTTCATGCATGCGTCTAAAGATTCGATGTGACGAGGAATCTGAAAAATTTAACGTTTTGGAGGAGATCCACCCCGGAGACGAATTGCTCACCGTCCACGGGAGCCAGTTGGCAAGTGGCAGAGCCGCAGAGGCGGGTTCTCATCGGAACTAAAGATGAGCAACGGGCCAGCACGGCACGGCACGGCACGGCCCGATCGGGCTCGGGCCCTTTTGGCCCGGCCCGGGCCGCCGGCCGTGCTGAAACGATCCACCGTGCACGTGGATTTGCCGAGCACGGTCCGTGGGCGAATATCGGCCGTGCCGGCCCGTTGAACCCCGCTGCCCGGTCCATCCATCGAGCCCCTCCGTAGCCCGCTACACAAATAAACACCATATTTCAAACAAATAAGCAATCACAGTTCAAACTTCAAACAATCACAGGTTCACATATTCATATTCAACAATCACGAAACACCAGATGACAAAAGATTTGAGTCAAGTTTGTGCAATGTCATCCTCATTAAAATCCTTTTTAGGTAAAACTCACACCTCGTGAGATAAAACCCTAGAAAGGAAAAAAATGCAACCCACTCAATAAATTAAAATGTTCAAATTGTTCAAAGTTATTACAAACCAAATAGCTCAAATGTCTCAACTCACAACTAAAGTCGCACTCCACGACCTCCTCTCGGGCTCTCGGCTCTCAAGCATCAACCATCACCAAAGATAGAGATGATCCACCAACTTCATCATCAAGGTACTGCTCTTTGAAGTATTCTTCTAGCTCTTTGTCCTCCACAGGTCTTGTCCACCGATTCACCTAACTCCCGTCTTTGACACAGATTAGCATCTCCACGCCTGTCTCAAGGCTCAATCGCCGTCGCCGCTCCTCAATAATCCTGCCAGTAAGACTAAAGGTAGACTCCGAAGAAGTAGTTGATACAGGAACAGTCATAATATCTTTAGCCAAGGTACAGAGAACTGGATAGGTTAGTTTATGCTCATGCCACCAATTGAGGATATCAAAGTCATCATCATATGCCACAATATTGTCACTGTCAAGGTAAACAGTGAGCTCAGAGAGACCAGGAGACACAATAGATCCTGCAGATGCACTTGAAGGACCAGAAGAAACTGATCCTCCAAAATTTTTGCCCCATGCCTGCTTTCTCTTACCTGTCAGTCCAGATGGATGGGTGGTTCTAGCTGGCCTAGCAGCACCAAACTTAGATTCATACTTGTCATAGAGTTTATGCAACTCAGATTTAACCTCAGCAAAGTAATCAATGTAACTCATATTGTTACTTAGAGCAAGCAAGTCAAGCACATTTCCCAGACCTTTCAACTTAGCCCTTGGGTTCGAATAAATGCAAAAGAGTATAACAAAGGGTACATTCTTCCAATACTTAAGAAATTTATTCTTCATTGGCACAACTACAAAGCAAGAAAGAGTATTATCATGTTCAAATTCATGCGGATGGGATGCAATCTCAAGTATGTGATGCAAGTACCAAAGGACTAGTGGGGTAATAAACACCGTAAAAGTACAACAGTTGAATCATAGAACAACTCAAGGAACTGCAATACCTTTGTCGAAGAATGTACCAATGCTGTTCATTCAATAGAGGATAGCCAGACCGAGAATTGATGAACACGTAAAACACAGATCTATATGGCATGAGATGTTTTAGCATAAGGTAGGTTGAGTTCCATCTAACATCCATAACCAAAGCAAATTTACGAGGCCTCACACCCTTAGCAATGCAAAGAGTTTTTGAATTGTGCAATGCGATGATTAGATGAATTCGTAAAGTTAATTGCGCACCTAAAAACCTCTATGTGTGGTTTAAGCCTTTTCAAACCAGATTTAACAATCAAATTAAGTATATGGCAAGCACATCTCTCGATGCACAACATGATAGATCTTTTACTAGGATTCAATGGATCAATATCATAACCCAAGTAACCAAAGCGCGAGAGGACTCAAAGTAAGTATATCGGATGTATTAGCAGATGCATTATCAAGGCTAACGAGAAAACTTTGTCAAGTAGGCCCCAATCTCCAAGCACACCAAAGAATAATTTCAGCAATGTTAATACCACTATGAGTCACTTCAATCGGTTTAAAAGCCAACAACAGCTTTCTTAAGTTCCCACTCGTAAGTAATGTAGTGAGCAACAACAAAGATATAATCTTCCTTAGCATTGCTAGACCGGATATCGGATGTCAAACAAAAGCGGAAGACACACCAGGCATTACTTTATTTTTTAGGTGATGCGCTTTTTCATTGAAAAGCTTAGAAAGATCTCTAGATGTGGTGAATCTAGACACTCTCTTGTATCTAGGATTGTGAGCACGCTTGAATGTAATCATCCCAAACATCATTGTCAAAGAATAGATAAAGGCGATCTAATCTAGCAATCAAACGGCAAAGCTCAAATTGTAGCAACATCGAGCCTATATTCCCGCCCTATAAGACCCATCAGATTCAAAGCAAGCCTAGTTTGAACCAAATTAGCCTGCTTCTGTTTTCTTCTTGCATGAGAGCATATGTCTTTTCAAATGACCAAAGCCATTAGCGATTTACCGGACAAACGAGACTTACAGAGCTTACAAATAGCAACAACACGTACCTCACCGTCCACTTGCTCTCTATGATTTCATCAAAGTTAGCCCAGACGAGGATCGGCGCTACTACTAGTGGTGGACGAAGCCGAGATGTTTGCATCGGTGGCATGCACTACTAGTCACGTGCATCGTCTCGGTTGGTCGAGAGGCAGACTCCTACCGAACAAGAGATGAGCAAGATCTCCCATGTCGTCTTCGTCATCGGGGATCCGCCTGTGGCCCTAAGCTCGTCGTTGATGGTTGGACCATCGTCATCATCACCGGACTCAGAGCCAGCCCATGGCGGATGGCACCCACCAACCCAAGCACCGTCCCTCCTCAACTCCTGCGGCACCGGCTACACACCGGCGACCTGCGAATCAAAAACACCGAGAAATGGATTAGGGTTCGTGTGATTGCCTACTAGATCTAGGGTTAGGGTTAGGGTTAGGGTTAGAGGTACTTGCCTGCATGGAGACGGAGCCCGGCGCCGGAGAAATGGAAAAGAAGACGAAGACGAGACGGAGAAGAGAGGCGGGAGACAAAAGGAGATCCCAAGATCCGGTCGAGTGAGACGAGGAGGGGGGAGAGATCGAGAAGAGGAGATCTCAACATCCGGCGGCGTCGGCCAGTGAGCCTGGGAGGTGGACGGCACGCAATGTAGTAGCTCTGGGAGGTGGTCGACGGTGGGCGGCGCGGCCCGGCGAGGCGGTGGGGGGATTAGGGTTAGGGTTTGAGCTCGAGGCGAGGGTGGCGTGGGCGAGGCAGTCTGCGGCTGCGCAAGTGAGTGACCGAGTGAGGAGCGGTAGCTCGGTAGGTGGTCGACGGTGGCGGGCGACCGTGGCGAGGCGAGTGGGGATTAGGGTTGTGGTTTCAGAGCTCGAGGCGAGGTGGCGTGGCGCGCGAACAGTGCATGGCGTGGGAGGAGTGACCGAGTGAGGAGGGTCTGCAGCGGGCGGGGGCTTATATAGCCCCTCCAGCTTGGGGCCTCCACCGGCCGGCCACTGTAAACGGGCGTGCTGTCAGGCCGCCCGGCGGTAGAGGCCTCACCCAAGCCCGGCCTGCTACGGGCTTTGGGCCGGCACGGGCCCGGTTAGGGTTCGGGCCGTGCCGTGCTCGGGTCGGGCCCAATAACCGTGCTTTGGGCCGGGCCTTTGGCCCACGGGCTGCATGCACATCTTTAATCGGAACGACGGAACAAGGGCGCGGCTGGCGAGTAGCGAGAGCGATGGATGCACCTGACGGTTCTTTGATGATGGGCACCCACTTGCCCATTCCGCCAATCGAGTCCTCGTTCGTCCCCTCGGTCTCTGTCTCGTGCCGTGTCTACCTGCCGCAACGCGCTGCCCCGGGACCCGAGTGCAGAGTGCCGCCTCCTCTTCTCTTTCCTTTCGACGTGCTCCGAGAATCCCAGGCAGGCACCCTGTGCTGTGCGCGCTCCACCCGGCAGGCACCCGCTCCTCGACGCGACTCCCCAGTCCTCCGTCCATCCACGAGTCAGCGTCCGCGTCGGCGTGTCCCTCTCCCTCACATGCGGATGCGGGGCGGCGGCCAAGGCGAACTACTAGTAGTTGCACGCAAAAAGCGCCCGCACGCCACGAGCGATCGACAGATCGGCCGATGCGGAGGAGCTAGCAGCCGCCCGCCGCGAGCTCAACCTGCACCAGCGCCGCACGCCACGGGCGGGGGACGCCAGATGATGAAGGATGCGAAGTGGCCGCACGCGGCGGCGAGCGTCGGTGGGAGGCGAGGGCCCCCCGCCTCATCATCCGCCGCGGGGCCGTCGTACACTCTCCTCGCGTCCTCCCCACCCACCAGCGCCAGCAACGACGGCTGCTCGCCGCACCACCTCTCCCGCGCCCGCGTCCGACGACGACGGGCCCTCCTCGTTCGACGCGTCCGTTGCTGCCGCGAAGCTTCCGTTCCAGCAGCAGCCGCACAGGAACAGCCCCCAACTCGGTGTCGCGGACTGGCTGCGGCTGCAGCGGCAGTCCAGCGGGAGCAGCGTCGGGGCGACGACGGCGAGGTATCCTCCACCGTCTCCTCCACCCTCGCCAACGCCGTGGAGTACAGGGACAAGGGCGACGCGGACCGCCCGCCGAGCAGCAGCAGCAAGAGCTGGGCGCAGCAGGCGGAGGAGGCCTACCATCTCCAGCTCGCCCTCGCGCTCCGCCTCTGCTCCGAGGCCTCCTCCGCCGCGGACCCCAACTTCCTCGACTCCTCCTCCACCGCCGCCGCCGACCACCTCCAGCACATTGCATCGCCTCAATCCCTCTCCCACCGCTTCTGGGTCTGCACATTTCTCTCCTCTCTTACAGTTACGGTTACTACCGCTGCCTGAAATGTGGCGAATGTCTGAGTTTTCCGAGTGACCACCGCGTTGTTCGCAGGTCAACGGCAGCCTGTCCTACTCCGACAAGGTCCCGGATGGCTTTTATCTCATCCAGGGGATGGATCCCTTCATATGGACCCTCTGCAACGACGTGCACGACGGCGGCCGCGTCCCCTCCATTGAGTCTCTCAAGGCTGTCAATCCCACCGATTCTGCCATCGAGGTGGTCATCGTAGATAAAGTGGCGGACTATGACCTGCGGCAGCTGATAAGCATGGCCATTGACGTTTCTCGGAACCGCGCCGACTCCAAGGAGATCGCCACTCGACTCGCTGCCGTTGTGTCCACAAAGATGGGGTGAGTTGCAACTGCATTTCTCATTTGGTGTACTTGCTGTCTATCTTACGTGCACATTTCCGTCGAAGGGGATCAGTAGCAGCTACCGAGGAACACGAGTTGGGTCTCCGGTGGAGAGACTCTGTTGGGTTCCTGAAGATTAGCTCAGGGTCTGTTGTACTTCCCATCGGAAAGCTATCAATTGGCTTTTGCTGCCACCGAGCATTACTGTTCAAGGTGATCTTGCTTCTTGCTCGTACAATGTGTACTTAGCAGATGCTGACATGTCACTCCAGTCACAATATTTTATGACATAATATTGGAACGTAGTATTTGTCTTCTTTTCTATGATGTAGTTGCAATTAGTATTTCTTTGCTAAGATTCTAAGCTGGCCTTGTGTCTTGTGTGGCATTCTCGTTCTCTCTGAAATTAAAGCTCATATCATGAATAATTTTCTAGTGTTAATCCAATCATATTGATCTTTTATTAGGAGAAAAGCTGCTCCACCTTGAAGTATCATATATGATTCACTATTTTATTTATCATCACCCTATTCTTGTCAATTCCATTTTCTTGCATTGATCCTGCCTGCTTTCGTTGCGAGCAAAACAAAAAGACCCTGGCGGACTCCATCAATCTGCCCTGTCGCGTTGTGAAGGGATGCAAGTACTGCAAAGCTGGTGCTGCCACTTCTTGCTTGGTGCGATTTGGTCATGACAGGTTGTATCCTTTCAAATGAGCTTTACTCTTAGTACTATTTCGAACTATAACAAAGATGAGAATAACAGAATACTTAAGTGAAAGTTATGGTACTCTTATTTAGTGCACTTGGTGAAAGTTCTCAAGTATATCTGAAAATCTTGAAAATGAAAGATCTAATTGACATGCATAATGCATTTCCCAGATAACTGATTTTGCAGTGATACATATGCATGAAGCTGGTCCTGCTGATATCACACTCTTTTCTCAACTGTTTAAAACTTTGGAGGATAAGATGAATACAAAAAATATAGCAGTCATTCTAGAAAAGAAATTTAGATGGACATTCTAATTTTAACATATTTTAACTAGATTTTATTTTGTTCATGTTGCAGCTGTCAATTTTGGCAGATGTAGACGGTGCTTAGTCAGTTATTGATTTTATTTTTTTTCCTGATACAGGAATATCTAATTGATTTAATTGGGAACCCAGGATTCTTATCTGAACCTGACTCCCTCTTGAATGGACTATCATCCATCTCGGTTTCTTCACCATTGCGCCCACCAAAACATGACTCAGCTGGCATTTCTGATAATTTCAAGTTGTTGGCCAAGCAATATTTCCTAGATTGTCAGTCGTTAAATCTCATGTTCAGTGATCCAGCAGCTGGTATCTCTCTGCACGCTGAACAGTATAAGATTCAGGATCTCTTGGAAATGTCATCTGATATATACATTGAATAATTTTAGGAACGGTTATCGACTTAGATGAGCCTATGGGATCCAATCTAGGTCCAAACTCATCACATGCAACAAACAGTGATTGTCAAGCTACCTTTACTCATCTTAAGGATGGTACTCAACGCGGTAGTCAAGATGGGAATTTTATAATGCAGAGGAGGTACTCAGATAAGATTCTATCTAAAAAGTAAGGTTGATCTTTCAATATCCAAAGTTGATTTTATTAAAAACATTTCCAGTTCCCCAGAGGATACTCAATCTGGACTAAGTGATCCCTTTAGCGATATGTCCCTTGAGATAGAAGACTTGATTATCCCATGGAGTGAGCTTGTTCTGAAAGAGAAAATTGGTGCAGGTGTGTTTCCTCCTGAATTCTGTACTTACCAGTTGTATTTAGGTTTTTATTCTCCATTGTTACAGTATAACAACATGCACTTTTCTATTGCATTATGTCTACTCTTTTAGCCAAAGTTTAATTGTTTACCTGAATCGAGGTTTTCAGGTCCTGTAGACCTGCTAGGGCATGTCTTGAAAATTAGAACAATTACAAAGTCATCTTTTGAAAATTTAAATGTTTTGTCTATTTTTATACTAATGAGGAAAAGTTCCAGGTTCTTTTGGTACTGTGCACCGTGCAGATTGGAATGGTTCGGTATGTTTTTTTGTCACTTATCACAAGTATGTTTTTGCAGTTTAGGATAATGGATATTCTCTATATCTCGGTAGAGACATAAACACTTTATTTTAATATGGGACATTTTAATTATGTTGGTTACAAAACAAGGTATTCAGCTGCTTATATTAGTCAGCATTTTAGAATAAACATCAGTGGCCTGAATTTACCACAATCCATCTATTGCTTACAATAGTAGTCTGACGAGGATGGAAGGGTTCAATTAACGGGGCTATTCTTTAACCCAGGATGTCGCAGTAAAGATTCTAATGGAGCAGGACTTCCACCCAGAGCGTCTCAAAGAATTTTTGAGAGAGGTATAACTACGAGACAGCATTTTGTGCACATATCAGTCACATAGTTCCTGCTGAACTTTTTCTCATGGTATCTTTGCAGCTTAAGAAACAGTGTTCTGAATATGTCCTAGTATAAATGGATTATGCAATGTAATAATGTACCCTACATATGACTAGATGTTATTCAGATTAAATTTTGTGTCCATAGAAATCAATGTCCAGAGGATTCTTCAAATATTGAATACTTACGCTGTTGCGCCTCATTGAAGAACTATAAATATGCATTGCTGTAGCATTTTGATGTTCATTTGTCATTTACTGTGTTGAGGCTTCTCCTTTGTAGGTTGCAATTATGAGAAGTTTGCGACATCCGAACATTGTTCTTCTTATGGGCGCTGTCACTCAGCCACCTAACCTTTCAGTTGTGACTGAATACCTGTCAAGGTGTGTCTTTACTTTCTGATTACTTTTTCAAATATACTATCTGTACACCCCTAGAGCTAGTCCAAGGTTCCAGGACTCAACCTGTTTATTTCCTATGTGCAGAGGTAGCCTGTACAGACTTTTACACAGGCATGGTGCAAGGGAAAATCTGGATGAGCGGCGCCGCTTGAGTATGGCTTTCGACGTGGTAAAAAACTTGTTTAAATAACGCTTACTGAAACTGTTGAGTATAGTGGAGATGTGGGTTTCTAGTGAACGACATGTTTGCAGGCCCAACATGTTTGATTAGATTTTCATAAGCATGAAGCTATCAATTTTGGGTTTTATGTGCATCTGAAGTCCTTGAGTAATGATCAAAACGAAAGATGGTTAGAATGCAACAAAAAAGATCATACACGAAACCTGAAATATATTAGCACTGAAGAGCATGGCTACATACTACAAGCTGTAGGTGACCATTGAGGGTCATGGAAGGGTACACTACACTGCTACAGTACTGCTGTTGTGCAGCAATGTGTTGCTGCCATTGCTATCGGGGCTATGGCACCGCTATAGTAGGCTGTTCAGAAGGATAACTACTTTCTTCAATAAAGTCGACATTGACCTTTCAGTTGAAATTGAAGCATTCGTCATTTAATACTCTATTGTTTGTGATCTTCTATGTACAGGCAAAAGGGATGAATTATCTTCATAAGCGTAATCCTCCAATAGTCCACCGGGGATCTAAAGTCACCAAACCTGTTGGTTGACAAAAAGTACACTGTGAAAGTATGAAATTTCTGATTTTGCTTTTACTTTCATTAGGAAAAGAACTTGCCTTCAGTGACTTAATGATCGCAGTAATAAAATTTATAACTTTATGATTCATCATTTTTATTTTCGTAATGTTCTTGTTACAAGCTATAGTTGTTATGTTTATTATGATTAGGTCTCATCACAAAAGAAAAAGAAGGGATAAAGTGCAGTGTATTTTGATGACCCTTAGAATGTTCTCTTTCTAATATAATCATTTGCTACCTGTGTAACGTCATGTCTTCTCTTCTAACTACCTTAACTGAAGTACTCCTGCTATTCTGCAGGTCTGTGACTTTGGTCTCTCCAGATTGAAGGCAAACACATTTCTGTCTTCCAAGACTGCAGCAGGGACTGTAAGTTGTATTGTTTTATTGTTCTGTTTAGTATATTTTGTTTTGTTATGAAATCTATGTGGCTTAAGTGTTATTCTGTGTCATGTTATCTAGCCTGAGTGGATGGCGCCAGAAGTTCTTCGTGTGAGGAGCCCTCAAATGAGAAGTCTGATGTTTACAGCTTCGTGTTATTCTATGGGAGATTATGACATTGCAGAAGCCATGGAGTAATTTAAATCCAGCTCAGGTTTGCGCTTATGCTTTATGCATCACAGTATCACACTGACGTTTTCTAGCTTCAGATATACCTCATTGAGCAAATCCTTGAGTTCTATCTTTTTTGTTAAAAAAACAACGTTACTTGCAGGTCGTAGCAGCTGTTGGTTTCATGGGACGAAGGCTTGAGATCCCAAGCAGTGTTGATCCGAAAGTGGCAGCAGTAATTGAGTCCTGCTGGGTCAGGTATCTAATACTTAACATACCTGCTATTATGCATCTTCTCATTACTCAACTATCAAAGTTGTTTTGATGGACCATTTTATTTGTGTTCTCAGAGAACCCTGGAGACGACCCTCTTTTGTTAGTATCATGGAATCCCTGAAACCTCTCATCAAGACATTACCACCCAATCAACTCCTGGAAGAAAATTAGTTACACTTCGCAAAAACTTCGACATCCAGTAGACATGAGCTTCTGACATCTGAGTCAGCAAAGGTGATTAGCTCAGTATTTATTAAGCATAGGGGTTCCAGTTATTCTTTATATTATAGTTACATTTGAGTATCAAATTTATTCAGATTATAGATCCTACAGACTACCGCATTTGTCATATTCATCAAGAAAGTGGATTTCATGACATCATACTATATTGTTGTCAAGGGCGTCGAGGGGTAGGGTAGGCGCACCCCGGCTACGTAGTTCGTAGCCGTGATCCGTGTTGGGGCGAGGTTTTACCCCTCAGCGCCCGTTTTGTTGAGAGAGGGAGAAAGAGAGGTAATTGTTCTTGCTTAATCCCAAATGACGGATTACAAAGACTCTTATAGGCCATAGCCTCAACAAACCCTAACAAATCATTCCTAAATTAGAGGCCCCCCTTGATTGGCTTTCCTTTAATCTAGGCACTTCCTAAATCGATCCTCACACTGGCGCCGCCCGTAGTGATCACAAGGGTCAGTGTCGTCGCCTGGCGCTCTGCTGCCGGCCGCAGACATCCCGGCCCTTCGCTTCCTCTGGCGTCGTGCGGCCCATGACATCTTCCCCCGTCGAGGAGCAACTTGTCCTCGAGCCGGAAGGCCGGGTACTTGGCGGTGAAGGCCTCGACGTCTTCCCACGTAGCCGATGCAGCCGACTCGCCCCTCCACTGGACAAGGACTTGGCGCACACCGCGCGCCAACCATGCCCGCACGGCCCACTCCGGCTCTGGAATCGACGCACCATGGTGGATGGAGGGCAGTGGTGGTGGTGCATCCGGAGGCGACCCGCGGAACTTCTTGAGGAGGCCGATGTGGAACACATCGTGCATCCGCGTACAGCAGCGCGACGGGGGCTGCGCGACAGCGACGTCGTTGATGATGAGTTCGACGACGCGGTAGGGCCCGGGTATCGCGCTTGAGCTTGCCGGTGATCGCTGGGGAATGGACGGCCGCCACCGACGAAGACGAAGAGAGAGCCCAATCGCCCACGATAAGCGACATGACGGTGGAGCTTGTCGTGGTGCTTCTTCTCGACCGCTGCGCTCAAGCCGCTCCGGCGGTAGCGGATGTCCGCCGAGAACTCGCCACGCTCCTCCATGTTCTCGGCGATGGCGGCCACTCGTGTCCCCGGCTCATAAGACCAGATGGTCGGAGGATCGCGCCCATAGACGACGCGGAACGGCGTGTCCCGCAGCGAGGACTGGTAGGCGGTGTTGTAGACGTACTCCGCCCATGGCAACCAGCGCAACCACTGTCGAGGTCGATCACCGGTGAGGCAGCGCAGGTACATGACGATGACGCGGTTGGCAGCTTCTGACTAGCCGTCGAACTGAGGGTGGAACGCCGAGGTCATGTGAAGCTTTGGCGCCCATCAGGCGCATGAGCTCTCGCCAGATTGTCGAGGTGAAAACCGGATCGTGATCGGACACCATGGACTGGGGAATGCCGTGAAGCCGCACTATCTCGGTGAAGAAGGCTTGCGCGACGGACTCGGCGGAGTACGGGTGCGCTAGGGGAATAAAGTGGCAGTACTTGCTGAACCTGTCCACCACCGTCAAGATGACTGACTTGCCACGGACGCGCGGCAATGCCTCCATGAAGTCGAGCGCGATGTCCGTCCAGACACCCTGGGGTACAGGCAGGGGAAGTAGAAGTCCTGCCGGATGAAGGTGCTCCGATTTGTATCTCTGACATGTCACGCACGAGCGCACGAGGTCCTGCACCAGCTGTCTCATGTTAGGAAAATGAAAATCGCGTCGTAGGCGATGTAGTGTGCGCTGGACCCCTTCATGCCCGTCCTCGTGCACGGCCACCATGATCTCCTGGACGAGCGGGGACGCTGGGGGGATGTAGAGGCGGCCGCCGAACTGGACCATGCCGTCGACCAACGTCCATGGTGCGCCGCGGGAGCCTGCCCGGAGCTCGTCCCGTATGGCGACGAGGGCAGGGTCGGTGTCCTGCGCTTGGCGAGGCGCGTGATTTAAGTCGAACGCAGGCGAGGAGACGGCGACGATGACCCCTCGCCGTGTCGCGGCGAGACAAGGCGTCCGCCACCACGTTCGCCGCGCCCGGCTTGTACTCGACGGAGAAGTCGAAGCCCAACAGTTTCCCCACCCAGTGGTGCTGGGGAATCGTGGCGAGACGCTGATCCAACAGGTACTTGAGGCTGTAATGATCCGTCTTGACGAGGAATCGGCGACCCTAGAGGTACGGTCTCTAGTGCCGGATGGCGTGGACGAGGCCGATGAGCTCCCGCTCATAGGCGGCGAGGGAGAGATGGCTTGGCGCGACGGGGCGGCTGAAGAACGCAATCGGGTGCGCGCCCTGGATGAGCATCGCAACTCAACCCGAACCCGTGCGAAGAAGCGTCGCACTCCACGACAAAGTCCTTGGCGAAATGCAGCATTGCCGTGATCGGGCCGAGGTGACCGCCGCCTTGAGCGCGTCGGCGGCCAAGCGCTGCTGAGTCGGTCCAGGAGAACCCTTCCTTCTTGAGGAGGGCGGTCAGCGGCGCGGCGACGGAGCCGTAGTTGTGGACGAATTTGCGGTAGTACCCGACCAAGCCGAGGAAACCGCGCACCGCCCGCGCCTAACGTGGCACCGGCTAGTCATGGATGGCCTGCACCTTGGCTAGATCCATGGCGACGCCCGTCTCGGAGATGACGTGACCGAGGTACAACGGCGGCGACGCCGAAGCGCGCGATTCGCCCGCTGAGCGAAAGAGATGAAGTCTTTGCGCAAAGATGGACAGATTTCGCGGAGGTGGCGAAGATGGTTGGGCCATGTCTTGCTGTATATCAAAATGTTGTCAAAGAAGACAAGGACAAACCGGAATAGGAAGGGGCGCAAGACGTCGTTCATGAGTGCCTGGAATGTCGCTGGGGCGTTGCACAGCTCGAACGACATCACCAAGAACTCGTAGAGGCCCTCGTGTGTGTGGAACGCCGTCTTGTGGACATCACCCGGACGCATGCGAATTTGGTGGTACCCGGAGCGAAAGGTCCAGCTTGGAGAAGAATCGGGCGCCGTGGAGTTCGTCGAGCAGTTCGTCCACTACGGGGATGGGGAACGCGTCCTTGACGGTGAGGGCGTTTAGGGCGCGGTAGTCGACGCAGAAACACCAAGATCCGTCCGCCTTCCTGATGAGGAGGACCGGCGAAGAAAACGCTGATGCGCTGCTGCGGATGAGGCCCTGCTCCATCATGGCGGTGCATTGCCGCTCCAACTCGTCCTTGTGGGCCACAGGGTACCGGTACGGCCGGACCGCCACTGCGTGCCGAGGACCAGGTCGTACCCGACGAGTGGCATCACGAAGAGATCGACACGGAACGTGTCGTTGCCAATGGTGAGCGGTGCCTGCCTAATGACGCCAGGGCAGGAGACACGCTCGCCATTCGCCACTGTCGCCGTGAGACGTGGGCGACGCTGCAGAGGTAGACCGGTGCGGAGAGCCGCGTCCTCGGCAATGAAGTTGTGCGTGGATCCCGAGTCGAGGAGCGCGGTGAAGACGGTGGCGCCCACGGCCACCTAGATCTGCATGGTGTCGCTGAAGGACACCCCAGCGATCGCGTTGAGGGAGAAGTGCGGGGTCTCCTCCCCGGCGGTGTCCTCATCAGTAGTGGCCCCGTCGTCAGTGTCGTCCTCGATGGCGCTGTCGAGGAGGAAAAGCCGCTTGCAGACCCGATTGTGCCCGCGACCGAACTTTTCATCGCAGTTGTAACAGAGGCCGAGACGACGACGCTCTTGTTCTGCCTAAGTCAGCCGACGAACCGGCCGACCCTCCACGGTCTTGTCCGTCGGGGGCGCCGGCAGGGCGAGTCGCGGTGCGGGCGCCGGCAAGAGCAACCGATCGCGCAGGGGAACGCGTGCTGCGGGCGCGACGTAGCTGTTCCGCAAGTCGATCTTGTGGGCGAGGCTCATGGCCGCCACCAGCGACTGGGGATTGTGGATCTCCACATCATGGCTGAGCGGTAGAAGGAGGCCGGCGGTGAACAGCTGGACGCGCTGTGCCTCGTCCAAGCGGCCCGTGCGAGGTTGCAAGGCCTGGAACCGGTCCTGGTACTCCTCCACGGTACCGGTTCGGTGGCAAGCCACCAACTCGCCGAGGGGGTTGGAACGGAGGGGAGGCCCAAAGCGCAGGTGAAGGAGCTCCGTGAAACGGCGCCAGGAAGGAATACCCTCGTCCTGCTGGACTTGGTAGTACCACAGCTGGGTGCCGTCCTCGAGATTGTACGACACCATCCAGACCTTCTCCTCCATGATTCGCTGTTGATGAAAATAAGATTCACAACGGTTGATGAAGATCAGGGGATCCGACTTGCCATCGTAGCACGGAAAGTCGAGCTTTTGGAAACGCGGCGGCCGATCTTGGTGGTGCTCCCCCGACCTGGAGTGTGCGGAGGATGACGATCCTCCCGGTGGCGGGCGCGCGGCGTCCAGGCGCTGGATGGCCTGGGCGTTGGCCTCCACGGACGTCTGGAGGGTCCTGATGGACACGACCAGGGAGACCAAAGTCGCCTGCAAGGCCGCTTTGTTGACGGTGTTTTCGGCCATGGCGTCTACGCGAGGCGAAGGTGACGGCGCGACAGCGGATGGTGGAGTGGCGGCTGGAGTTGGCGAATTGGATGAACTGGATCGCCTAGACCGTGATACCAGGTTGTCAAGGGCGTCGAGGGGTAGGGTAGGCGCACCCCGGCTACGTAGTTCGTAGCCGTGATCCGTGTTGGGGCGAGGTTTTACCCCTCAGCGCCTGTTTTGTTGAGAGGGAGAAAGAGAGGTAATTGTTCTTGCTTAATCCCGAATGACGGATTACAAAGACTCTTATAGGTCATAGCCTCAACAAACCCTAACAAATCATTCCTAAATTAGAGGTCCCCTTGATTGGCTTTCCTTTAATCTAGGCACTTCCTAAACTGATCCTGCGCTGGCGCCTGCCGTGGTGACCGCGGCGGCTGCGTC